GGACAACCATGAAAGGTCTTTCCCTGGTAGTGTGGATAGGGCTTGAGGGCGATATATAGTTGCTGTTGTATCTTCTGTCATTAGGAGGACTGACAGCTTTGAGTCCATGGGCCCAGTGTGTGTTGCACAATGTCACCTAGTGGGACACAAATTCTTCAAGTATAAAGCAGTGGCGACCCTTGGCCCTAAAGATGTCAGTCAACTGGAGCCACTTTTCAATTAGCACCTGCGGAAGTTTTCGAACAATTTTGTTCTGTGTGTCGACGTGATCGAGACAGGCGAGTGCTGGTAAGTTGGGATCCCGTTGTGCCATTCTCAGCTGGACAAGTATGTTAGTGAGGTCTATGATTCGACGAGGCTTGTTGATAGGAATTTTAGGAAAACTGTTGAGGCTATCCAAGAGTGTTGCTTCTACGTTCTCGGAAGCGCCATACAGTTCATCAAGCCTTTTCCATGATAACTGTAGGGCAGTGGCCGGGTCATCTAAGTGCCTAAGCCAAAAGTGCCCTCGGTATGTCGGCAGACTGGCACTAGCCATGCTATCAAGTGTTCGATTATTTCATCAGGGTTCAGGCATGCCGCCTGAATAGGGCACAGGAAAATTTTCTTCCATACTAGATACTCGCCGCCTGGCTTGTCAGAGAATCTGCGAACTCCGTTGGCATGCAAATTTAGCTTTCCACTCTGTACAGCCAAGTTTCTCCAGTAATCTTCAGCATTTTCTGAGTTGGGGGGAGGTATTGACGTAGGGGGTTCTTGCCCTGGATTCTCATAGGGTGGGTTTGGGTTGTAAGTCAACGACGGGAAGCAGTCTTCCTCCCAGTACTTACGGAGGATGTTCTCCCATACTGCGGATGGTGGTCGAGTGTCACGCTGCTGTGTAGGCTGGGCGCAGTTACCTTGTGGTGCCTGGCAGCTGGATTGGTATTGAGGTTGTGGCAGGAATGCTGCTGCCTGTGGATTGAGTGTGGCAGTTGTCGTTGATGGCATGTCAACTTGTCGAGAAGTCGTTGTAGGTACTGGTGGGCTATGTTGCTTGGCCAGAAGGGTATGAGACATTGCAGTAGGGTTGCTGGTGCTGGGAAGAGAGTATCGGACCTTAGTACATACAACATCAATTGGGGAAGGTTTGCTGTTGGTGGGAAGTGAATCTTGTACTTTGGGTCGTACGTCAGCAAAACTGACGTGTAGAGTCTGTGGTTGAGATTCATCCCTGTGCTTCCCTGGTTGAGGGAGGCTGCTAGGCAATTGAGGCGGTTCCATCTGCTCGTTTTGTAGCGAGAGCTGCTCGTCCACATAGGCTTTGACCCGTGTATCTGGGCTCTCTTCTCCCAACTCTTCGATGGTGAATCGGAGGGAGGTGTTGTCAGCCATCTTCTGCCATGCCACGGCACGTGCCGTCTTTGTTGCGGCGTGTCTTTGCCATTCAGCCAACTCCAATTTGGCCTGTGCTTTGGCCATTTCTGCCTGTTGTCTGACGTGGGATTTGACTATTTCTGCCTGTTGTCTGGCTGCTATTTCTGCTTCTTGAGCCACTATTTCAGCCTACTGAGCCACTACTGCCGCCTTCTGCCCTGTTATCTCCTCTGTGGCGCATAGCTCTGCATCTGCTACCGCAGCTTCTACTTCAGTTTCTGCAGCCCGTTTGGCATAACTTGCTGCTTTGGAGGCCTTAGATGGGAGGATGCTCTGGAAGGATGGTGAGAGCCGGCAGCAGAGAATTGGTGTGAGACACTGGAACCTGCCTGTGATCTAGCTGATTTGGGATGGAGGGAGGAGGCTTTCTTAGAATGGTGGGAAGAAGCTGCTTGTGATTGAAGACTAGGTCGGATGTGGACTTCTCCCTGGATATTTGCTCCTTCTATAGTGCAACGAGGAGCATGGCCTGGAGGGAGTTTCTGCCTTCCCAAATGCTGTCTTTGCGTTCTTTATTTACCTCCTTAAAGGAATGAATGTGTTCCTGGAACTCTGGGTCTTCCAGGTTCGACTGTATGTATTTAAGCTTATTTTCACTGTCTCTCCACCGTGAGAGGTGCTCCTTTAACTCCTTCTGCATTAGGAAGAGGCTCTTGAGGGGCAACTTGCTTTTGGGGGTGTCACAGATCTTGACCAGCTCCATCTATGCGGCTGCATGATGGCGATACTGCCTTTCCCAATCCTCTCTGAAGCGTGTCACTGTGGGTGAGGTAAACTTCCTATGCTGTCTGAGGTCATAGGCCTTCTGAGGTATCACGGCTTCTCCAGCGAGTTGGACATTTAAAACTGGGTTACAGGAATCAGGCTCCACGTTTACAACAAGGGTGGGTGGAGGAATCAGGTCTTCTGGTACATCAGAGACATCTGTCATGGCTGAGGAAGTTGCCATGCTTCAAATTGGCAAAGGGAGAAATTTGGAAAATTTTAGTGGTTTTCCATGCAATTCCCTTTTTTTGTACTAGGGGGCGCTGCAAGCAGGTAGCAGAAAGCTGAATTGCTGCTGGATTTAATACTTGAGCACAAAGGTGGCACTGCAGAGTCTGGGCGATGCTAGCACAGCACATAATATGGCTGCTTCTAGGGTGTGTTGTGAGCTTGCAACACAAGGGCCCACTAGAGGTTGCGTCACGAAGTCTGAAAACTAGAGGGCTGAACGCAGAAATATGCATAGTGTAGTCTGAAGACTTGAGGACGAAAGGCAGAAATAATTATCACTTGCTTCACAAGGTGGCAGCAGAGAGTCAGGAAGACGCTGTTGCTATGCCCATGTTAGGCTCAGTTATTCTTGGGACATTTGAATTAAATTGATTAAATTGTCCACAATGGTTTCAAAAAAGAGATTATCAATGCAAACAGGTATTGGAAAACTCAGGGAGATTTTTCTTTGAGCCCCAGATGTAGCAGTGGCCTGAAGAGAAAAAGAGGGGGGGACTTCCTTGCCCACTCTTGAAAAAAGGAAAAAATAATGGTAATTCTTTAACTTCACTGTAAATTTCTTCTTGACCACCAGATGGGGATGTAGGCTGCTTTACTTGAATCTGTTAGGTTGCAGTTAATCTTGGAACATTTGAATTAAATTGATTAAATTGTCCACAAGAGTTGCAAAAAGGGGTGATCAATGGATAAACACTCTGGTCAATCTTGAGAGACTTGGTAAAAGAAATCATATAAGGTTTTTTTTTGGTAGAGTCTAGCAGTTGAATGGCAATTGAAAATGCTGGAAGGAAAGGTGAATACGATGCTGCACTGTGGTTGCTTTAGATTGCTACTTATTTTGTTAAAGGAAAATTCCTTTAATAGCAAAAGGATAGCAAAAGACAAATGCTGACTTTGTTTAAATCATTGCTAGATTAGGTGTCTCTCTGCAGGGGGAAGGCATGTGCCCATTGCTGTGGAGACGGCTCTGGCTGGAGGAATTTTTGTAACCATGGCCTCTTTATTGCTTTGCCAGAGGAGCAGAGGAAGATCAGCTTTGTTTTACCAACAAACATACAGGCATGATTTCTCAGAGTCTCTCACTGCATTTGAAGACAGAGGTTTGGTTTTCCTTTGAGAGCTGGGAGATATCTGACTCTCCTTGTTATGCAAATGGAGTCTTTGAGATAGCAGGAAGACAAATTGAGCAAAGAAGAGGGGGGTGGGTGGGTTACTGGTTTTCAATTCTGCGGTTAGAAAATTCTCTTTGTTACTAGCATGTGGGGAATTCCAGCCCCTCCACAGCATGTAAAGAGTTCCGATGCTCACAGAGAGAGACGATGGGAAATGCAGGTTTAAATTAACATTGCATATTCACTCCTGGCTTCAATATTACTTTGCTTTATCACAAACCCAAATTAACATCCTTTATATTGATAGGTTTCAGGACTTCGTCTTTTACTTTTCTGCCTTATGCACAGAGGTGGATTTGAAGCTGTAGAGATGCAGATAGATAACTCAACAAGATGTCCATAACAAATTACATTTATTGGTTCATCAGGTATCCTCATAAGTTATGTTTGTGACAAAGTTCTTCTTTAATGACCAATCCTTTGTATATCTGCCTTGGAGTAAAAGATGGTTATCTCCTAACCCATCTCGTAGCAATAGAAAGAAGCTGCCATGAGTTAGAGAGTTCAGGCAAAAGTGAGGAAAACCTCTCCCAACCCTTCGAGGGTCAATTTAGTGACCAATCAGGATTACAGATGTGGCCACATGACATGAACTACATTTCCCAGGATACTTTTAACTACATTTACCATGATGCATTCCTTTAAGGGGACAGCTCATAATTCCTAAGTAACTATCCAATTCCCATAGACTGGCTGCGACAGCACAGGGACAACCATGATCTGTACAGTCTTTTAGCACACCAGATCTTGTTTCAGTTATGCTTTAAACAAAATAATCTTTGAAAAACAATTCAAATGGCAAAACAATTCAAATGGAGACTGGCAGGAAATCTTTGAGTTGAGTCTCACTGTCACTTCCAGCTTGCCTCCTTGTGAGCTGAAATGTGGGAAATTACTGATTTTGATAGTAAGAAGAGGGCAATCTTCCACCATTGTAAAAATAATAGAAAAACTAGTATAATGTCACCACAAATAATGCTGAAGAAACTTTCAGCCCTCAGAGATTAGTTGGAAGCAAATGTGGGGTGAGATGTATAAGCTCGGCCCCAAGTGACTAGCATGCGATTCTGTACACATCATGTTTTCTTTTTGCAGCTTTTTGTATTGGGTTACACGGATGCTAAAGAAACTACTGCTGATTTAACAGAGGACTAAAATATCAGGAAGAGTCTTGAAATATTGATGTGTTTGTTGAACAAAAACAGCTTGCTACTTCTGGGCAGCTTTCTTCACATTTCTCTGGAGGAGGCACAGCAGATGTGCAAGGGGAGGAAAAGAATATGTAATTGGAAAAATATACATTAGATTAAGCAATAATATCAGTAGTCACCTCTGTTCGGGAGCCCTGCTGAGAGCTAGGCTGACTGACAAACTGCCGATAACATTTTTATTATTATTTCTTTGTTTATTCTATAGCCACAGACCATAAGGCAGACTCTCCAGAGGACACTCCAACATTATGAGCATCAAGTTATTGGGTAAGTAAAACCAATTTCTTCAAAACTCCAAAAGGAGTGTAAAGATAGATTGGTGAGTGGGTGGCAATAAAAAACTAATTGCTGATTGCCAAGATATTGCCTTATGGTAGGTTTGCCAACCAGGTGCCCTTAAAATTGAATTTGGAGTACGAATTCTGGCAATTCAATTTTTAAAAACTTCAGATTGGAGAAAGGTATAAATGAGCTGTGTTCATATAATGTGCTTAAGAATCTGCTGACTATTGCACAATTTGTCAAGCTTGGCTGGGGATAACCTTGTTGAGTTTTTTTTTATTCATCTAATTGAGTCAGTTTATGGTTTAAACCATTTGCATACCCAAAATGGATTAATTCAGGAACCAAAGTTTGTGATACAAACACAGTCATGATGTCATAAGATGCCACACGTGCTTTCATTAAAAGCTGTTGGTGCCCAAACAATATTTGTTTATGTAGATTTTATTTATTTCAATAGGATGCAGGAAGAGCATTTTAATGTACCATTGATACATACTTCAGTAACAATTTTGATAATACCTTTCTTTGATCCCAAATAGAATTGTTTTTCTCTTTTTCTATTCTCTCTTTTATAATTTTCTAAGGAAATAGTGAAAATATCCCCAACTAAGCATGTAGACTACGATAAACAATTATTATACGTGATCTTTTGCTTAATGAAATAAAACATCTTGATGCAAAAATTTAAGAAGACTTAAATTGCCAACTTAATGCCAACATGCCCCGTCTTTTTTTTGTTCTATTTTGTGCTCCTTTATTGTTCTTTTGTATGCAGAGAACTATGCACTAAGAAGTCATGCCATCAGATTTGTAGCACTTAGGTTCAAAATATTTCAGGGAGGCTCATGGAATGCCCTTTAACTTCTAAATTCTTTTGTGGGTTGGATTTCATATATTGTTTGAATTTTTCCTTTCAATCTTACTGGACTTGTTGGACAGCAGTGGCTAGCAAAAAAACGAAGGAAGCAGAATGTCACATACATGTCACTTTCTTGTTCCAGGCCACAAGCAATAGGAGGAAATAATATTCACATTAAAGTAAGCTTTGAAGAAAATTATCTTTCCTAGAACCTATTTACAATCTAGTTTAGAGAAAATTATCACCTGCTCTATCAACTTCTTTTTACAGTAACTTGCCAGGATTTTTCAATAAATGAACAATCAAGGAAGTTGCAGTAATATATTCAATAATTACAACTCATTCAATGGATATCTTATGTTAAAGTATCCATTTAAAGCAGACTCCCCAAACTTTTCAGCTCATTGATTCCTTAATGAAGTTTCAGATTATTCAAATATCTTTTACATGAAAGCAATTTTATAAATACTACTTTAACTAATACTGCTGTGAATAGCAATAACAACAATCGTGACCCGTGGAGAGTCTCGTTGAGTCATAGTGATCAATATTAACCATTTTGGAGAACCCTGCTTTAATTAAATGCAAATACCAATTGCTCCTTTAACAATATCCAAGTTCAGTAATAAATTGGCAAGAAGTTGGATCATCTTAGAAATCTCTATTATTATATCTCACATCTCTACCACAGAGATCATTGTAACAGTGTCCTGTGATATCATACAGCATTCTTTGAGTTTGTGGAGTCTGAAGAGGTGGACAGGATAGTTTGTGACAAGCAGCAGAAGTTGATGTTGACTTCTCTGATTTATTTCAATTCCCAGGAGGGAACAGATATTTGGATTCAAGAAATTTGGAATGCTTCTTTAGGGGGAGGAAGTTGCACTGACAGTCTTGAAGGATACGTGCTTCCTCTGAAGAAATCCTCCATTTGGAGGTTCTACAAACTTCCACCTGGTCTCTAACCTTCTAATCTGCAAGAGGATTGTTGAGAAAGTGGTTGGGGTTCATTTATAGAAGAACTTGGAAGATGCAGATTAGTTGGAATCCTTGCAGTTGAGTTTCAGGCTTAAATCTAGGATTGAGACCCAATTAGTTGTTTTGTAGATAAGCTGCAAGGGAAGGGTAGCAGTCTCTAGCAGGAGTGGAACACTTCTAGCAAGACTGCAGCACATTTAACAGGACTGGAGAGCATCTAGTACCATTGGATTGTAGTATCATGATCCAAATGTGAAGGATTGGAGGAAGGTCCGTCAGATTCAGGTTAAATCTTCTCCAGGTGGAATAACTGCTGTCTAGAGAGTGCTTAGATACAACAAAATTCTATTTTTGTTATTTCTTAGTAAGGTTGCATTCTCCTAGAAGGTTTTTTCCCTCTTATTGGACTTACAGCTTTTATTGGAAAAGCAATTGTAGATAAGAGAGAGAGAGAGAGAGAGAAAGAGGGAGAGAGAGAGAGAGCGCCTTCAGCTGGTATGCTAGATGTTGCCATTTTTGCAACCAGAGTCTTGGCAAAGTCACAGATGCATGGTTTTGGGTGGTTTGACTGTGCTTTATTTATGACAGCCTTCAAAGTCTATCCAGAAATCATAGCTCACCTAAAAACACAAATGCCCAATTGTTGACAGATCTGTCCTAATTCAACAGAATCACAATCATCTTGCAGGAGCTAGTAGCAGGTTTTTGGATGCAAATTGAAGTACTGGCTTATAAAGCTTAAAGTCCTTAATTTTTTCAGACAATCTCCTTAAATAGTATCTTCCCATCCCATAATGCCGTAAAGTCATCAGTACATAGATTTTTTTTTCTCATCCTTAGAATTTTAATTCTTTGGAATTCTGTTATAGAATCCAATTATTTTCTGTGTTTTTAAAAATGCGGACACCATCCTTCTTCTTGCTGCTCTAGAAGCAGGTAAAAAAACCATCCTCTTTTATTGAACATTGGAGGATAGGTTTAACTGACTGATACTTTTCCTGGAGGTGACAGTTTTATGGTTTTAGATGTTAAGTGACCACATTTATGAATATTTTATTGTCAAGAGATGTTAGTGAAGCTGTGTTAATGTGAGCTGGCAAAATAGATGGCAGACAAGTGACCCCCTCTTCCATTAGTGTTGTAGACACTGTTTAAGGCACTTCTGGGTTGAAGGATTAACTTGTAATATCACTGTTGCCTGGGGGATGCCCATGTAGGCTCCTTTTAGGTCCCCATCAAGGAGCTGGAGCAAATGAGGGGAGTTTATCCCACCATGCAGCAGCACTCAGGTCTCAAACACAGACTTGCTAACCTCCAACCCAGCATCCTAACCTACCGTGCTCCATACAAATGATAATAATAATAATAATAATAATAATAATAATAATAATAATAATAATAATAA